AAATATAACCGGTCGGTTCTGCTGGGTTGGCCTGCGATGAAGATGCGTCGATGAATCCATGATCGTCCACTGCTGCTGCCTCTCTCAGATGGTTACTCCCTGTAACGTTTCGACGGACCAGGTCCACGGCAGTCCCCAGCTGACGTCCCCGAGGATTGGTGCCGTTTTCGAGACGACACCGTTGCCTCGGCGCCCTCGCGGAGTGGGACCGCGATATGGGTAATATCGCGACCCAGCTCCGAAAGACGTTCGGCGTCGAGCCTACGCGCCTTCTGGATGTTACGGGGGGCGCGCACACACCTCTCCGACCGGTGGGCGTCCATGAAGATGTTCAACTGTTGCTCGGAGAGGTGGGGAGGAACCTGCACGTGGTAGCCGCACCATGTGCACAGCGCTGAAATGATAATTGAGTTAGTGTTTCGTAATGATTTACAGCTTGATTTGTTCATCTGAAATCAATTTAAGTTATGTCAATGCGAGTATTCCCAATTATGCGAGCGATTTCGATTCACTTGCAAACATTTTATTCGTTTATATCATCGAATCCAAATTTTAGCTCATTTATCTGCGCAGAACGATGTTAGTGTGATTTTCACAATATATTGCACAGCTTTCTCAGATCAGTTCATGAATACTTAAAGCTTTTCCGTAAGCTGCAAACTTGCATGTGGATGATAAAATTCATATCGTTCATTGATGAGCGATTTCTAATCTCCTTTTGATCAGCGGCTATTCATTTCCGCTGACGAATTCAAAAGAAAACAATCAAGAAATAATTTCTCAAAAATTTACAAAACATTTACAAAAGATTCAAACATACTTGTTTCTTGATGGCACTTAGCTCTGCGCACATGGACTTTCCAAGCCGCCACAGTTGCGAAACCTGTGGACGGCCTGGCGCATCCGGGTAACCGACAATCTGTAAGATAAATTCACATTAAGAATTCAACGACATTACAAGCTGAACACCTCAAGGAAGTGATTGGATTACGCTTCAAAATTCATCTACCAGAAAGGATATCAGAATAATCGATTCATTTTACCTATATATAACACCACAGTGCACTAAATTAATCGGTGTTTGTTTGATAATTATCAGCTATTTGTACCATTACTATTCTTTTATAGTAGCAAGTATCAATGCTCTTCAATTAAGGTTGTTGTTGGCCTCAGCATATAAAAAATAAGGGATGTTGAAATGAACTTACATATTTTATTATTATTGCATACCATGTATGCGTTGGTGGTGGGTGGTGTTACCTCGGATGCGTGCTCCGGTCGCAAATCTTCGATATTTGCGGGCCGGAACACTTGCGGCTCTGGTCTCTCCCTCGGCTGCCTTCGTGCGGTGGCGTAGCGCCTGCAATTTAGTTGACTATTTACTAACAATTCAAATCATTTTGTCAAAATCAATGAAAATGTAATTCCATTATTGCTTCACGCGGAGATGGTAACTCAGCATCATTTTAATTACCCTTCATAATTATACAGAAAAAGAAAGTGGTAGAATGAAATATGTGATGGTGAAAACTTACAGGTTATAGGTGCGCTGCGCCGGTTCTGGGGAATGGGGTTGGGGTGGGGGCGGGTAGGGTTTGGTCTGCGGCTGTTCGACTGCTTCTGGCCGGGTACCTCTGCCGGATGGGCGTGCCTCTGGCTCTGCCAGTACCTGAAAGTTCGGAATGCTGGAAGCATGGAACAAAGATTAGGCACCACATGCAACGATTATGATCTTAGATCTCTCATTGCCTTTTAAGTGGTGCAGTAGATAAAGTGATGTTCTGAAATGTAATTGTGGAGCATCACTATTTTTATCGCTATGATTTTGACCACTATTAGCATCATTTTGATATCATCATTACAATTATCAATCGGTCAGGCAATTGCATACTCATCATATATCGTGTCTTACTTAAGAGATCAACAAAAAATGCAATTCATCAGCCATATTCCAAGCAAGATAAGAATATAATTTCGAGCACGCCAAAGGATTAAACGATGGTGCAGAAGGAAAAGCTTGAAATGAAATGAAACATGTGATAAAACAAAATGCTCACGGGTGCTGTTGCTGTTGCTCTCGACTGATACCAATTATTTAAATTTTTGTATTCATTACTTTCCACGTACTGAAAAAATCATTTAATCAGATGATCAGTTGCGTACATGACATTGTGTTCACACATATGATTATCTTTCAATTCCAATTTCCATGTTTCAGTTCAGTCACTATTCTCGTGAAACGGTTTTTACTCATTTCAGCTGGAATGCTTCGTATTGGAAAGATGGAGAGAACTCTCATAGTTAAACAAATTATTTTGGATTATTATGAGAACTGATGAATCTTTACACGGTTCGGTTTATTGAATAAGTATCGCTGGAAGAACCAATAAAAATGCAATTCACAGGTAATACTCACCTGGACAGAGCCAGGACACTTTAATGCGACGAATCCGGCAGGCGTATAGATTGCCTGATGTATTGGGCCGGAAACGCCGAATTTCCAGCTGCCGCCACCTACACCACCATGGTGGACGAGCAGCTGGATGTGCCTCATCCGACAGATTGCTTCCACACTGAGGGGGCTATCCTCCTCCCTCAGCGCCCGGCGGACCGCTTCGTCTGCATTAATATTGTACGGTTCCAGCCGGGAGAGGAACAACCAGTTCCTCTGGATGTACCCGGCCAGCTCTTGTGGGGCCGGTAAAAAGGCCAAAACGGCCAAAACTTGCAGCAGTGTGCTGCACGTTACCCGCTCGACCTCTTGAAAAACGAGCCCAAACCCGCGGGGCTGCTCTCCTCTCGCTCTCTCCTCCTGACGCTCTTGGCACCCCCCGATGCCCACAAACGCTCTCGCGGGGGCCCTGACTGAAAAATTTTCATTCCTTTAGGCAACAGTTACTGAACAGGGTTTCTGACCGACCTATATATGTAACTTCTCATGTAATCATGATAAATCTATTGAAGTGATCAATTTCTATTTTTGGATGTATTTAATCTTCTCATGTAATCAATCGTATATTCACCAATTCATTCAGCAAATGAATACAGCAACAGCAACAACACTATTCCAGAATCGACGGTACAAAGACAAATCAGAAAGCGATTGACTGTTAGATATCGAATCGACGGTTATATAACAGTTGCTTAGTATCAATTTGGCGTTCATTAGGTTGATTTCTTGAATGATGACGAGGAGTTTTTACTTTTAGTAGCTTTCATGAGATGGTTGTGAGTTATGAGATGGTGTCAGAAGATGAAGGATTAATTAAGACATTTTGAGGATTAATTCAGCTAGACGGTCGAAAAGGTGTACGCTAATGAAATGCTGAAAAGTTGGCAAGACTGATGCCGAATAACAAAATTCATTATTGGTATCCATTTGGCTTGCTACAACCACTCAACACTTCGACGATGCAGCTGTAACGTTTTATTTCACAGGATCGATTTGATAATGAGTTGGATTTGCTTATTGAATAAATTGTGCGATAAATGAAGTGAAATCGCTCGGTTGCTCCAAGTTTATATTCAGGGCATGTCATCAATCAAAGAATGAAGCATCGTTAGACTCACATTGACCAGATTCAGTCGATTATCCAAAAATCGAACGCAAAAATCTTGAATTATCGCGGTGCTTTTGANTTGCTTATAAACGTATGTTATTACTATCCAATAGCAGTAACTATAGCGCATTTCAACGTAAATCGCTGACTGGCTTTGACATAGATGGAAGATGCGTGATGAACCTAAGATTGAATTTGTTATGCGATATCAAACAGTTAAGCAGCGTAATTCTTTTTCTCGACTCTGTATTGTTTTTTTTTCTGTCCAGTTTTAACTGGAAGGAATGCGAAAATGTATTCCGGCGTGGAATTTTGATTGCTTTTCGAAGATTTCGATGCTTCTGTTATGTCACCGAGGTATCTATGACCGAAGATATTCCATGCATAGGATAAGACAAATTTTAGCTCATCAATTGAAAGTGCTCGCTCCAAGAGTTTTCAAACGAACTGAATACGACAAGGCGAGATGAATCAAGCAAATCAAAGACGCGATGAATCAAGGAAACTGTGATATCGATGAAAGATCTTCATGTATGCAATACGATTATCAGTTAAACATCGTAAAGTCAGACCTACGGATATGTGACCGGTTGGAAAATCAAACAAAATCATGCGCACTATGTAAACGCGAACAAAGCACATCAAAAGCAATAATTGTTCGAGAAGTTGGTGAATGGTAATATACGAGAAATTATTTGAGAAGAGTACATGAAATTATGTGTGAAATAGCGAATGATCATTGACCAAATGAATGCAACAATCTATATTGAGGAAGAAAACTGAAAAATGAATGAACTAATCAAAGAAGAAAACTTACATTGCGGTAGTACGTTGGATGCCATAACCGCTTTCTTCTTTTTTTTTTTCAAAAAATTAAGTTCGATTATCTGCAATATTAACAAACAGTATAGTTTAATCCTATGAGAATATCGAAGAGAAGAGAGCGATTGTGATATCAAACACAATGTTTTTACAAAAAGCGACGAAATGACGATCCATGATTGTGATTAGTGCAATCAGCTGAAATGGCACTCTAGAAGAATTATCTCGTGGATGAGGAAATGTTTAGTGATGACATTTGGATAATAAGTTGATCTTTCTGATTCGGTTGACAGATGACTGCTTAATGATTGTTTTGGATTAGTTTCTGAGTGAAAAGGACCGGGGTGAAAATGAAACACATAGCAAACGATTGCCGACTGCACTGAAATGATAACTTGAGAATGAATTTTGATACTTAAATTCTTAGATCTCATGGAATCACATTCACGCTGTTTCAAAAAGGCAAATGTTTCAAAACGTCTGTGTGCATGTTCTGAGAATGTTAAGTGATTTGTAATAAAAAATTAGTATCGCTAAAGAACACGAGTAAGCGATGCTCTGATGTTTGATAATCTGCAAAACTCGTTGAAATTTTGTGCTTTACCTAAAAATCGCTTAGTAAAGTGACGACACCACAGACATTTCATGGCCAATTATCGGGAATTTCTCTGAACATTCCGGATGAATGAAACATTTACGATGAATCATGGTACCACTGATTAAGAAATCAAAACAGTTTTATTGGAGAGAATATTAAACAGAAAAAGAAAAAGAACAGACGAATGACAGAGTACAACTGTGTTGACGTGACGAAAGCAAAAAAAATGAGCACGATGAAGCGTGGACGAATTGAAAACGATCGATCGATTGCAATCAGTAGAGCAAATGTTCGAGAGTGATGCGTCGCGGTCACTTAATGCATCAGATAGTTTGTTGACGTCCCGAGGACGCATACTGCTTCACTGCTGTGTCGATGCCATGTGCACGCCCACTCCTTCAGCCACTGGGTTCATGCTCCATGGTCACTTGATGCATTTCATGCTAAACAGATAATTTGACATCATTGCTATTGAACGATCTATAACAATGCTGCTGCAGCTCATTCAATACGGCGCACAATACATTATCACTATAGAAGCATTACCATAGAAGTATAGGTCTGATACATTCAAGCATACCGTGTTCTCAGGATTCCCCGCAACACGTCAACGTTAACAAACCAATCGATCGAGCAGAATCTCTGCATTCTAAAAAAAA